TATATGTATATCTATAACTATATATATCTATATCTATCTATATATATATATATATATATATATACATATGTATGTATGTATGTATATGTGTGTGTGCGTGTGTATGTGTGTGTGTGTGTTGAGCATGTGTTTGTGGTATGGAAGGTTCGTCTTGAAATTCCTCCCGTAAACCGACATCGCATGTAAAGGGAAAATGTGAAAAGGAGTTTAATTAATGGCGGAGAGCGTTCATGGCCGTCGGTAGACTACGAACAATTTGAATGATCAAGGGTTTTGTTTGGAGTGAAGATCTATAGAATCTGTAGTCTATAACCTTTTATTTGACTAAAAAAAATCTGGTTCCAAAACTAGACTGTGGTGTGTGTGTGTGTGCACATTATTTGCTTTAAAATAAATCCAAATTATTTTATGTCAAAAGCCATTTATAAAAGATACTGCATTTTCTCTTGCTCAACTCCTTAACAGTCTAAATAACTCAATTTTGTGCATTCTTCCTTCGTCCACGCTATTGTCAGGCAGTCATAATTACTTCATAGTGCTTTCATGTATGCAATAATGAAATAATCACACTCGCATACAGATCACAATAAAAAACAACCGCATTCAAGTCATACCATGAATTATTTAAAGACAGCATGAGAAAGCTTTTGCCATTATACGTTCATCCAGCCACGCATTCTCAACGGTTCCCATCCTTATATCCGGGTCGTAGCTGAGAGAAGCATGATTTCTGATATAATACAACCCGGAATTTGTTTTCAGCGGTAATTTCGCCACGACGCAACCCGGAATTTGTTTAGCTTCATCCACGCATTCTCGCTAATGATTTTCTCCGTCACGCAACCCGGAAATGACTTCACCTATACAAGCAATCTCGGCGGTCATTTCCGCCATTACACAACGGGAAAGGCTAGATCAGTAGCAACTCGAGGTGCCATGGCGTCTGATTCTATTTTTGGAAAAGCACGTGGGGTTTATTTTGATGACGTCACAAACGTTACGGATGCTTTGTGAATCTGGTCGATGATTTGGGTCTTTTCAGTTTTCAAAAAGGATGGAAGATGATGATTTTAATCGTTAAGTTTTCACTGAACAATCATCCAAAACAGACGGCACGACACCTCCTCGAGTTGCTACTGACCTAGCCTTCCGCATTACACAACCTGGAATTCCCTCACCCACCCATGCAGTCTCGGCGGTTCCCATCGTTATATCCGGGTCGGCGTCGAGAGAAGTCAGGGTGCCGGCGGACCAACCGTTGACGGCGCCGGACGACAGGGTACCGAGGGCGGCCGCCATGCACGCCAACACCTACGGAAGGCTTGTGGTTAAAGAAAACAAATGAAGCAGGTGATAAAAGACATATATATTCCATTTTTTGAGAGTATGGCTTACCAAGTGTAAATGATCAAAAGAGATAAGCAGAAGATAAGGAGGGATAAAAAGAGCAAAACAGAGAGAGAGAAAAAGGGAAATGTAGACCAAAGAAAGAGGAAAGGGAAGGAGGGAGACAAAAGAAAATTAATTTAGATAATGTGAGAGACAAAAGGCCTTTTTTCCGATGCCAAGAAACCGTCTTAACTACACTAGAAAGTGTCATTTTTCATTTGCGACATTCTCCGGGCCGATCGCGACAGCAACCCTGCCGATGCTTCTACGCTGTTGCCACACGTGCGGCTCCACCCCCATTCCTAGGAATTGTACTCGAGTTGACGAATCTGATTTTGTTTTTCAATTGTATCAATTAACAAATCATTATTTTATCAATATAACATTAGGAAATAACAGTGGATACAGGTTGTTAGTTATCAATATCTTCAAATTACAAATCAAACGACGGAAAACTATCGAAATCAGTTGAAAATGCACGAGTCCTAAGCGCCTCCCATATAAATTTTCGTAATATTCTTTTAACCATTCGAACACATTCTGTAAATAAAACATGAGATACTTCCCCGTATAATATTCATGGAACATATTTGGAGGCCTGAATATGCCCAAGATTAAAGCATAAATGATATGAGATAATACAGTAACTACCCTTACATGACATATAGCATAAAACACACACACACGAAAGATAAACCTGAACCTTGCTCTTCTTAGCCATGGCCCTAATGATATGAAAGCATATCAGTATTAAAGCTTAAACTTTATATTGTTATCTATGATAGTAGTGTAGATTTTCAACATTATATTTATGTTGCTAGAGCAGGACGATCTAGTAAAAACATTCATATTTGTTTATATATATATATATATATATATATATATATATATATATATATATATATATGTATGTATGTATATATATACATATACATACATACATGCATATATATATATATATATATATATAAGTACAGATATATATATTATATATATATATATATATATATATATATATATATATAATATATTTAAGCATGTATGTTTACATATGTTTAAATATACACATGTGTATACTGTATGTATATGTACGTATGTATGTACACAGTGCGCGCGCGTAAATATTTTTAAACTAATACTTAGTGCAATAATATCCTCATTGCCATTATCAACGTTGCTAATATTGCACCATACAGTGTAGCATCAAATTCGAACTTCCCATTTTCTTCCAGTTTTAAAACGGGCAGAGGTGCTCCGCGCGCTCTTCAGCCAGGTGCAGTTGCCTATATATGACTCCGCCCCCATAAATAGGGGCAGAGTCATAGGAAACTGTAGTACTACAGTCGTTGACGCCGAAAAAAAACCCTAAAGTACGAAATGCAGAAGTGGAAAAAAATGAAATGAGAGAGAAAAAAAAAGAAAAAAAAACACCAAAACAAATCTCTATTTAAATTACAACACGCGCGCTACATTTAAATATATCTTGCAAAATGCTTACCGTCACACATTGCAGATCCCAATTCTCTACCTATCAGAAAATAAATAAACTACATCACAACCGCCTTTTTCACACTTCACCTCACCAATTTAACCAAAAAACGTCCTTCTTTGCCTCAACTTCAAAGGCGATTTTCCTTCGAAATATCATTTCCACCAGATATCTGTGTTTACGTGTCGCGGAATCTGATGAGGTTAAATATGTTTAAGAGAAGAAGAAATGAGAAATAACAAAATAGTCCAGCATGTTGATACAGTGGCGGGCGACCTCAATATGCACGCACAAAAATATTGAAAGATAAGACAATTTGTTCAATACAATTCTTTTCTCTTGTATTGGGTTCTTCAAGCGATAGACATGGCGTTATAGACATCTTTTACAAGGTTAATTTCGTTTAATGTTATTCATACAAAGAGAGTTTTTCTCTGCATGAGTAACATTAGAGGGAAAGAGGGAAAATTAAGTGAGAGAGAAAGAAAGAAAGAAAAGGAGAGAACAAAAAAAAGAAAGAAAAGGAGAGAGGAAGAATGAAAAATAGAGACAAAAAATGAGGAAGAAAGAAAGGAAAGGATAGAGAGAGAAAGAAGATAAAGGGAGAAAGAATGAGAGAAAAAAGGAAAGGAGAGTGAGAGGAAAAAGAGAAAATAAGATACAGAGAAGGAGAGGCTGACGGAGAGAAGAGAAATCATACGGAGAAGAGAGAGAGAGAGAGACAGACAGAGACAAACAGAGGGAAGGAGGGGAGAGAGAGAGAAAGAGAAGGAAAGGAAGAGAGACAGAAAAAAAAGAAAGAAAGACTGACAGAAGGAAAGAAGTAGTGACTCGGAGAGAGGAGAACGAGAGATTTGGTTTTGATTTGATAAATCTATTAAGTCCAGTGATAACATAGAGAGAGAGAGAGAGAGAGAAAGAGAGGCAGATAGTCAAAATAGAAAGAGAAGAGAAAGAGAAAGACTTGGAAAAAACAGAGAGAAGACACTATAAACAAACATATAAACAAAACAAAATAAATAAGGAACGAAACGACAACGAACGCAGAGACAAAGGACAATAAAAAGAACGAAACAAGGGAGACAGAGAAGCCAGAACAAAAAGGAGATTGCCAAGGACGCAAGAATTCGCTGAAATGGCCAACTTTCGCCAACCACCCACTGTCTGCGCCGCGTGAGGTTAGGAGCTGTCGACACGAGGAACAACACGCAGGGGCAGCATTCATACCCCGTCGTGGGCATAAGGATGACGTCAGGACAAACAATTATCGGAAAGGGTATGGTGTTGAGTTAGAACTCTTGCAATCATCATTATTGGGGTAATTTTCTATATTACCTTCGCCTCTCCGATATCGACGATTTTGGTATCGGTGGATTCCTCTCACTGTCCACTTTGCAAATATATAGTTTTTATTGCGCGGAAACCCCCCGTTAGCGACAAACTTGGCCCCGATAGCAAGGGAGGGCATGGAAGGTTCCAACGAAAATGCGGGTTAAATAACACTAATAATATAACAAACTGTGAAAATAACCATGGATATTGACATGACTTTCCATGCCCGCCCCCAAACCCCGCCAAGGAAACAAAACCTCCACCAGTATTCCCGGCAGGCTAGAGCGTTACAAAATTATCGTCGATCTCGGAGCGGCGGACGTATTACAGTTACCTCGTAACATTCCCACTGAATCAGCATACTAACCTTGACATAGTCAGCATTGTATACAGAGACGATTATAGTATAATCACGATGAACGGGGTATACCATGAACAGAAGAGCGCCCTCGTCGGCGGGTTTTGCGCCTCTCTCGACGTTACGCCGATGGCCTCAAGGTCGAGTTTCCCGTCCCCTGGAACCACGATTTTCGAATTCCTAACCGAAATAACCGCCGCGTTCAGTACTTCGCCATGGCCGCCGCGATGCCCGAGTGTGGAGGGTGCTCCTACTAGGTTATGGTAGGGGTTATCGGCTCCGCATCTAGTTCATGTGCGCTCTATCCTGCCGTGAATATGTGGTGGAAATTTTGTTTTCTCGGCGGGGTTGGGGGCGGCAGCCCCTGGGGGGGGGGGTCGTAGGGGGCGCAGCCCCTGCAATGGAAAGTCTTGTGAATAACGATGGTTATTT